ACACTATGAGAAACTATTGAATGTTTAATTTTTTGGAGCTCTGCTTCCATAATCAAGTCATGGGCAAATGTTTTCCAGTTAAGACAAATTAATTATACACATACATATTTAGATTAATCGAATCAAAGAGCAAGTTAAGGTGGACTACAAACTTTCTGATCAAACTAACGACAATGTACAGAAAAACTTTATTTCGAAATCTTATACCCGTACAAGGCACTTTAATTTAATTTATGTGTACAGATTCTACATGCATTAACATAACACATTTCCTACTTACCTAAGAATGTCTCTAAACTGGTTCTTAAGCAAATTTCAACATTTTTCATATATCGAATCGTTCATAGCTTATCTATCGGCAATTTTGTATGCATTAACCACACTTTAAGCAAATCCTAATAACCCATTACGGTGCTCAACTGTTTAGATATAAATGAGGTGCATTACTAATTTAAAATCACCATTAAAATAAGTGTGGAGAAAATGGAATTCGTGTAAATGGGTGATATTAGTTTTTATCTCGAGAGAGCGGGTATATTTTAGCCGTTACTGTTTTGAGATTACTACACACTACAGAGAGACCAGAACAGTGAAGCTTTTAGTTGAATTAGCGTCCAACTGCCTAAATCGTTAAATAAAGTTGCTTTTAGTAATTAACTTTTAAAAGACGATAGGAAAAATTACCGATGAAATGACTTGACTGTTAACTAAACGACTACAATATAATTACTACATTTTAGAGATAACACAGTTTGATAAAACTTTTAAAATAATTTATTATAAATAGTTTATTAGCTCAAATTAAATTTAGTTGATAACTAAGAATGGTATTTTAAAATTAAATTGTTATTGCTAACTGAAAATATTATAATATAAGCGAATGATGTAACTGAAATATGTGTCATATATGCGAGTAATGATGTTTAATGTAATATCATTATCATCATCATCATCATTTTCAGCTTATTCAACCATTATGTTGTAGCCTCCCTCAAATACCTAGATACTCTCTTTGTAGTTGATGGGCCCATTGTTGTCTATTATTGGCTATGCTCGCCCAAGTTATCCCTGCTAATTTCCTAATATCATGGTCCCATCTCAGGTTTGGTCTTCTTCTAGGTCTCTTTATTCCTCGTGGGTACCATGCTATAATTTTTATGGTCCATCTGTTGTCCGTTCTTCTTGCCAGGTGTCCTGCCCAATGCAATTTGAGGGATTTGACTCTGTGGATGACATCTATTACCTGGGTCTTTTGTCGTATCCGCTCTATTCTTTTACGGTCTCTCTTGGTTATTCCCAGCATATTTCGCTCCATTGGGCGTTTTTAAGTGTCCAGGTTTCGCATGCATAGGTCATGACTGATAGTACACATTGGTCAAATGTTTTCTTCTTTAGTGGCATTCTAGATTTAAATATGATTGAGTTTCTTCCTCCCTTTATTTTTCTTTCCACTAGTTCGTTGTACATTACTTTAGTTTTAGCTAAATTCATTACTATATAATGTGATATTACAAAGTATTTGTTAGTGGTGAGAAAATGCAAGGAAGGTCAAGACCAGGACTCTTCTGGTCTTGTTTTTGTTCTCGCAGTTAATAAGTAATTTTGATTTTTCGTCTTGATCTTGGTTTTGCTGGAAGATTCTTGCAAGTCTTGCATATATATTTTAATATAGTCGTTTATAAGTCTTGCATATATACATTTTAATATAGTTTTTCTAAATGCACGTTCTGATAAATAAATAGAATTTTTAGTAATTTGGTATAAATAAAAAACGCGTACAAAAGGGCGAGGTTCAGTTGAGCAGATTAAATATCTGCTCTCTCTCTCTCTCTCTCTCTCTCTCTCTCTCTCTCTCTCTGTCCTAACCCCCTCCTAAATATTCCACATTTTACTTTGAATAAAAAAAATTCTAACATTTTTTCAATAAAATATTTGTTTTTTTTGTTGAAAGAGTAGTAAGTTTTGTTGAAAGAGTTTTGTTGTAGAGACCTGAACCTTCCATATGATCTATGATTGCCAATTACCGAGAATCACACATTTCCAAAGCTGTCGATGTCGCACCGACATGAAATGTGTTTCATAATATTATAAAAACACTGATATATGATAAATAAACTTTTCATGGACGAGCATGCAGTGCTAATTGATAGTAACATTTTAAATTGTTCAACACTGATAGTATTACAAATCAGCAACATTATCATTATCTTTCTTAAAATTTCATATATCCACACATTTATGAATTAAACAATTCTACCTCAGGCGGACAAAGTTTACTTCATAAAATTTTTATTTTAAAGAAAGAACAATAAAATTCCAGAAATACAAAATACGTACTTTTCAAACTTCCCCCGTAAAGCTCGTATATCTTTGCCAGACCGAAATGGATCCGGGCGTGCAATTAACATTAATATAAAAGCAGTGCCAATTTCCCTAATGCATTTTGGATTTTCATTTCTCATCAAGGAAAGTAATCTGTGATATTCCTTTCCTATATCAAACTTCACACCCTTCATAAAGCTGGAATTGATCCTCCTCCTCCTCCACCTCCCTATCCACCCCCATCGCCACCTCCTTCTACCGTTCTCAATTAGGAAATTCGGCTTTTACATCCGATTTTATGGCGTCCATCAATTACGTTCGGAAAACGGTCGTTTTAAAAGTTTTTCTTTTTTCTTTATTGGAAATTACGCAGATTAGAAATTAGTTCGCCGCCACGCGCTGAAGGTTTTAAAACCTATTAACGACGGAAAATACGAGCCTCTTTTCGTAATTGCTTTTAGAAATTGAATTAAAACTAACCAGACTGTAATGTAAAAATTTTTATATTTTTAATAGTTTAATCATATTTACTACATTATTTGTCTTTTGTAAATTAATAAATTTTAAATTAATTAACGTGACGGACAAACCAAGCACTTTTATACAAAGGTAAATTATGTGCAATTAACTTATTTTAAACAAACAAAATACAAAAAGCGGAAAAGGGGCCAAAGAAACCCTACATAATATATGCTTATTCTCTGCATTAAGTTCATCAGACTGTTCCCTTCAGCCATTCGACGACCGGTTTCGGAGACTTATCTCCATCGTCAGGCCGACTTTGCTCTTTGCTGTAACCTTCAATCTGACAAACGAAAAGCAGAGAATAGCATTTGAGTACAAAACGTACTACTATGGAGAGTGCTAGACGCTCTTGCCATCTAGCGGTAGCTGTGACAATCACAGATCGTACCACCAAAATTAAAACCAGCGGCAAACATGCTTGCTTCATCCACGTTACCGTAGATGGAGCTGAAGGCTTGGTAGGGTATATATAAACAAACAAAATACAAGCGGAAAAGGGGCCAAAAAACCCTACATATATGCGAGAATAAGCATTTTTTGGCCCCTTTTTCGCTTCTTGTCAAAACTGGGTCGCCTTAGCATGGCCGGAGCTGAGATTCCCAGTGTTGGACCAAAGTTGGGTGGATTAAGAGATGGCTAAGACTTGATTTCCCAGCCGTGGCCCAAGACAGGGTGAACATAGAATTAGCCAAGCCTGAATTACCCAGCTTTGGACCAATTTTGATGCGCCGAAGTCTGTTAGGTATGTTTCCCGCGACTGGGCCACGCTTGACCCTGTTGTCAAACTACGGGGACTCCTGTATAGGTTAATTAGTTTCTTGAACTGTCAAGAATGACAAGTATGAAGTGTGGACTTTCTTATCGTTTCCATTATTACAATAGGATATTGTAGCTCTTGTTTTAAAGCAAGATTCGACTTCACATCATTGTGAGCATTCACATTAATTTAATAGCCAACGCAACGGTTCGGTTGGTTAAATACAGGGTGTTCCTTAATGGCATGCTAATATTTAAGGAGGTGATTCTTGGACCTATTCTAAGAAAACACTTTATATGAATATGTGTCCTAAACATCTTAACTTTCTAGATAGAGGGTGGTAAAATTTTCAATTTTTTTTTCAAAATATCTCTGATGGTATATTCGATACACGTTTTCCGTGCGTCAAAATGCTTATTTTGATATACAAAAAAAATTGTTTCATTTTCTTCCAGTCGATGCAGAAATGATTTTCGATTTGACCCTGAAATAAACTGACTTTAATTTTTTAAGCAAAAACTATGCGTTGGACAAAAAAAAATTAAGAGACTAAAAATGTTTAGAAATAAATGGAGATTTTGAAAATATTTTTTATTTTAAGAGAAGTCAGTGGTGTACCACTTTTTTCTCCAAAAATATTCAATGTAAAACTCGTATGAACGGCACTGGTTGAAATAAATAAAATTCTTTGTACGCCAAAAAAGATATTTTGATGCATTGAAGACGTGTATCAAGTTTCATAAAGACATCTGTAATAAAATGAGAGTTATTATGGAAAAAATATATTCTAGAAAAATTGAACACCCTGTATCTTAGATATTAAGATGTTTATGACATACATTCATATGAAGTTCATGCCCTAAAATATTAACATGTCATTAAGGAACACCCTGTGTAAACTCTCTAATTTTTGATATAAAAATAGAGAGGAGGAATTTTAATGCGGAATTATTTATTAATTTTGAAACGCATTTTAGTTTGTGTTTTTCTATAAGTTTTGATTGTTATAATATATTGTCATTTACAAAAGTCACATACTTAATTAAACATTTTTAGAGGCAAAACAATAAGTTTATTTGGATGTATTTTCTTATGAAAAACTTTGTAGCTGTCTTGGAGATGTCACTTGGTAGAATATCTATTTTCAAGTGCAAATTTACTGCATATTATCACCTTTGAGTAAATTATATTATTTAAGTGTTACAGTCTCTCTATTTTTAAAATATTTAGAGATTTTTTTGAATCTGTCTTTTTATTTTTTTTTTATTTAAAAATGTTGTTTTCGAAACAAAAAACTCTTACATTTATTAATCCACATTAAAAAAAATCATGTCATTTTACTCTCCAGTTAATTTAAAATATAAGGTAGGTATTTTTCGAATAAAAACCAGTCAAATTACTGAATTAACAATACTTTATTATTTACAAAAATAACAACAACATACCAAATAAAAATTCGGGATTGTTAAATGTCGAATCACTTTACAGTTTCTCTCACAACAATCTCTCTCTCATTTTTTACAGGATCACCGTCAATATTTACAGATTCGCCCCGTCGACGTAAGGAGCGTCAACACGGCAAGAAAAAAAAAGAATTAAGAATACTTGTTGCAATAAGAGGGTTCGAGATTGGGAAACAAACCGATCGATTTTGAATAATAATAAGTATAAACTGTTTACCATCATGATTCGTTCAAAATCTTTCGATTCGCTTCGAGAAAGAGCGTTTCTGCTTTTAAACACTACAGAGTGACTCAGGTTCGGATCATACTTTAGTAGCATATTGTATTGGTGAAATTGATATCAGAGATGATACCGTAATATTAAATAGTTTTATGAGAAAGGCTTTGAGGGTTTAGAATAGCTGAAATCGTTTCTGCTACAAAAATAGTTGAAATCTGTTTTTTTTTGCTACGAAATAGCTGAAATCGTTTTTTTTTAGTTACTTTCGTCTACTTGGAGTCAGTTATGTAAGAAATATTTGTTTATTTAGTATTTGGAAGCCTTTTTAAATAGTATGTCACAAAAATTTTTCTGCGGGAATGCATAATTTTCAGTTTTTCAACTTTACAATACCTAAAACCAGTTACAAACACGTTTCTGCTTTTCAATCTAGAAATTTTTCTAAACATTGACTCGCAAAAAACTTCTTGAGGAAGTGTACCATTTTCATTTATTGATAAAATATTGTAAAATATAGCAAGATTTGAAAAGTACTAGGCAATTGGAATTTGTAAACAGACAAGTTTTTGCTTACAGCGGGTTTTGATTGCTTTGTTTAGGGTTGTTTTGTTTTGGTTTGGTTTGTTGGTTCATTTTTGTTTATTTTCGTTTTTTCTCGGTACGGTACTGATGTCTAAATTACAGTATCTACTACGTTAAGTTCATACCTACACATGTGTTTAGAATGTAAGGTAGGAACACGTTTTCATGTAACTGATGTCAGTTATTCTAAAGTCAGAAAAAGAATAATGCATTTCCGCAGAGAAATTTTTATGATTTTGTGTTTGGGGAGGCTTCTATACACTGGATGATTTGTTGTTGTTTTTTAAAGTCATTTCAAGTAAAGAAAACTTCACCCGCATATTGTATTTGTGAAATTGATCACACTGATGATACTGTAAGATTAAATAGTTTGATAATGATAAAGACTTTGACTTGAGAGTTTAAAAACAATTTCAGTACCAACCATACTGTATTTTATTGCCTTGTTGGATGATTTACCTAAATATTTTGACGTAAATACAAATTAATCGGTTAACTGGGAAAGCCAACAAGTCCAAACAAATGATTTTAAGATAACAAACAAAAATAAATAAATGTGACATTTTGATTCCTACAATAGGTAATCAAAAAGAAATGTTTGGAAATGTTGGATTTTTAATCTAAAGTTATGCTTTTAATAGCATTTTTAAACCAAAATATCAATTTGAAACATATGTGGACTTGTCGCGTTTCTCAATTAAGTCATTCAAATATACAGGACAAGTCCTAAATAAGTGCAAATATTTTCAGGGCTGGTAGATCTCGATAAAAGAAACATATTTTAGCTTTACTGTTTTTCAAATAAGTCCAAAATAACCGAGATTTTTACTTTAAAAATTTCCAAAAAAGTTGATTTTTCGCTTAAATTTGGAGAACCAAACTGGAACCTTTCTGGGTTTTCTTTCTTGTAAATTAAATCTACTACCTATGTTGCCGTATTATCAAGATACTATGTTTTTTACTAATTTTTTTTTGCGAAAAATACCTCATAATCGTGTTTGGTTTGGTTTGGAAATATACTACCCCTAAAAATATTTGCACTTATTTAAGACTCACCCTGTATAAAAGTACAAATTTATTAATTCACCTTTTTTATTAACGGAAAATAATCCAACCTCTCAATAATGGTATTTTCATATTCTTAGCTATACAATATGCTTCTAACGTTTGATCCATACAATAGCGGACACCCTGTACAAGAAATAAGTCCGATCTCTCGACGGATGCGGGCAAGAAAAACAAAAACCGTTAAATGTTCATTGCTAAAATGAAATCGATATGCTGGGAAGACCGAACCAAAAATGCCAATCGGTGGAAATGCTTCTCGTTTATTGCACGTCCTGACTGAGCCCGGTATACCACGGTACAACTGAAAATAAAAAGAAAAACTGCTTTAATTTTGAACAAACAAAATAAAAAATATGATAAAAATAATACAATAATCAAACCAATTCATATATACCCGTAATATAATAATTTGATAAATGCGTATCAAATCAATGAACACTGTTTGTATAGTTTTATTTACATTTTTCACAGTTTAGAATACAAATTACACTCAGATGCAAAAAAATGCAACGGATAATTTTTCGTCAAGTTTTTTTTAAAGTGTTATATTTTTTTAGTTTCAGCCCTATTTTCATGATTTTTTTAACAAACTGTGTATAAATCTATCAACCTTAATTCATAAACTCAGTTTTTTCTGAACTTTCGTATTTGGCTTATTATACAGGGTTAATTGAAGGGTTGTTTTTACCCTAACTTTAAAACACCCTGTGCAATACTTTCGTGAGTAACATTCCTTAAGACATTATTTTTCGATCGGTACCATGTCTCCTGAGTATTTTGTTTTTTGATTAATATCAACACATGCCTTGGTTAATTTTGAATGAATTTACCACCAACAATTTGCAATTTTGTCAACTATCATTACTTTATGATGTTATTTTTTAATATCACAAGGTAGCTTTGGTGGCTATTGTCGTAATGTCATATCGACACTGATTAGAAAATGTAAAACTCTACTCACTATATATTAAAATTTAAAAAGCGTTAAAAAGTAACGATAGAGACTTAGACACAAAATTATTGCACAGGATGTTTTAAAGATGGGATAAAAACAACTCTGCGATTAACCCTGTATAATAAGTCAAATACTAAAATTTATAACTAACTAAATATATGAATAAACTTAATGTTGATATATTTATATACAGTTGGCTAAAAAAATCAAGGAAAGGTAAACTAAAAATAAAAAAATGTAACATTTTTAACTTGACCAAAAATTTTCCCTTAAGTTTTCCCGTTTTTTTGAGTATATATGACTGTTGAAAATAAGCAATATCACTTCTCAAGTTTTACCAAAAAAATGTTTGTTTTTATGTCAATACATATATAAAAAATTGAGATACGCTCATTCATAACCTCGAAATTACTGGAATAAATTAATGGTTCCAATTAGAGTAAAAGTTTGTTCCTATAATTTCAATGTAAGCAATCATTCAGAACGTTAAAATTAGTGGTAGACATTTTCAATTAGTAGAAAACGTTACAAACTTTTATCTTTTGCCACTAATTATACTTCAAAATTTGCAACTAATGACATTATGGACTTTCATTACCATCGGTCAAAGCAAATTGTGGTTAGAAATGAAAAATTTTATTGTTTTATAAGCTAATTATAATTAGCTTATAAAACAATAATAATTATTAATAGGCTTTCTCTATGGATACAACTAGCTACCGCAAGCTATTGCTAGGATATTCAATTAATTTTAATTGTATTTTGAAGAAATTGTAAATAACCGTAAACTAAAAAGTATAAAGTATAATTGAAACCACTAATTTATTCCACTAATTTGCAGGTTCTGTATGAAGCTAAAAACTAATTTGACATAAGTAGGTAAATGTAGGTAATAACGTAAGACTGGTTGTCAAGTCATTTCAATTTGATTCATAATTTATCTTGATGTTTTCAATTAGTAATTTTGAGAGTTAAAATGTATTTTTGTCGTAAAAATTTAAAAAACCATTACATTTTCGTATATTCATGCGAGTAGCTATAACTTTTTACTCATCCCATTGTTAGACTTAATTTATTAAAGTACTTTTATAATACGCCGTGCACTCGAAAGTGCTTTTAAATTTTCCAGAGTAAAAAGAAGCAAAATTAGCTGTCGTAATGCCAAGTTTAAAACATGACATTATTCAAAAGTAACGCAATAACTCTAAAAACAACGCCATTACCATTAAAACGCTTTACGTATACAAGGTGCATTCGAAAAATAGTGTTACCCTAATGAATTCGTGCTCGACAAAAAGGAAAAACTTTTAAAACGGTCGCGTACGCCAGTGTATGTAGGGGTCGCACAGTGGTCAGTTCATCGAAAAATCTAGTTATTAATAGGTCATAGTGTCGAGTTTTCTTTGTATTTAAGGAATATTCATATGTAAGTAAGATAGTCTTTCATGTAGTTCATTTCATAGCTGCATTTGAGAAATGTATACAGGGTGCTACAAATTCGGGGTACGAGCATTGGTATCTCGGTAACCGTTATAGATACGAACATGGTTGAAAGGCAAAGTTGCGCCTTGAGATATTCACCAAAATACCATCAAAATTTTTTAAAAATTTCAAGGATTGCTGAGTTATTTCGAAAAACGGATTTTTTTGAAAATCAATTATTATCTTTTCCCGTGGTTATTTTTTGGTACCTCAAAAAACTAATTGTACATTCTCATAGCCACTTTATCAGGGCTATCTGATAAAGTGTTGTTATGTTTTTTTAGAATTTCAAATTAGCTGATAATATAATTTGTGAGATAATTTTTTTTAAGTACGGACCTGCATTTTTTATTTCAGGTTTTGAAAGAATTCGGTTTCCTGACGTATCCACGGTCGTCTCCAGATTACCGAAATACACTCTGTTTTTTTTTTCAGGTAAGATTTCGACAGACGATGACAAAAGAAAAGCAGATGACGTCCCATACCAATCTATTTATTTTAATAAAAAAAGTTTCTAATATTTTTTAAGTTAACTATGGATGGGTTTAAATATAAATCCGTCATGCGTCGTATCTTATTGTTTTTAACCAGTTTTATTGATTACAGTTGAGGGTTGAAACCTTTGGTGTTAAACAGCAAAATAAAAACACTAAATCACCACAATACACCAAAACACTTTTACTTTTACACTGGACGCGCGTTTCGCTAACTATGTTAGCATCATCAGCAGATGATTATAAACTCAAAAGTTTATAATCATCTATCGATTATAAACTCAAAAGTTTATAATCATCTGCTGATGATGCTAACATAGTTTTGGTGTATTGTGGTGATTTAGTGTTTTTATTTTGCAGTTTTATTGGTTTATTTCAGAACTGACAGATCATATTTCAATTTTATTGGTTTGACGGAACGATGAACGACAAACGGACGCCGATGCGTATGAACTCGCCTTTAGATTTTTTAGGCTTGTCAAAGTCTTGCCAAATTACAGGTTATAATTTTGTGTCAACTTATGTCAAATATCTGCGTTTTGGAAGATGGTGCATTTTGATTCGTGTTATTTCGTGTGTTTTGTGTCTTTTGAAGTCAAGTGGAGGAAAAATCGAGGGAAAATTAACTGCAGACCCAGAAGAGCAGTTTATAGTTAATACTTGCTGCCCAGGCAGAAAGTCTTATACACCATTAAAGTTACCATCAATAAAGTTTGTATACCATCTCGTCGTAGATAAGTGCATCTCGTATATGGTACAAGGTTCGTACTAAACATATACCTAACTGGCCTAGCTGTAAAATATCGACATCACACGATATGTAAAAAATGGATTTTAGTACTGTAGAAAAATAATATCAAAAGGTACTGGTTTAAAAAAATTAAGATTAAAGCTAATTAATCAACCTTTAATATAATGTGTGATAACATTTGGTAAGTGTTAGTATTAATAAAATAGTTTGTTTTAAGTACGTTGTTTTATTTATTCCTGTGGAATATTACAAATTTGTATTTGTACATAAGTTATATTGATAAATATAATAATAAATGCGGGAAGTTTCTTGAAGCTTGAAAGTAAGAAATCGTTCTTTTTTATATTTTTTGGTACTTTGGTTTTGGTGTTTTATTCTTGTTTGTTTTGTATTAACACATACCGTTTTTTCATAAAATAAATCGATTACATTTTTTCAGTTTTATATAGTTTTTTTCACAATATTTTGAAGTAATCACTTATCAGTCAAATTTTAAATATATTAATTTTCTGCTATGCGTTCCAATTGTACCAACTTATTTCTTTGTAAAATAAAATAAACTACTTTGAAATTAAAATGAGATACACATCTATCACTGTCAAGGAGCTTATCGTTGGACAGACTATAACAAATAATATGCTCGATAAAAAAGGGTTTTTCGTTACTACTTATTTCGATTTTCCCTTCCTTTTATATTTTCGTTCATGTTCTACTGAACTCTCTGCATCTATCTTTAATATGCATATCTTATTGATGATATATATGATTTACGGTAAATTTCCCGTCTACGCAAAATATACATTTTGACCCATTTTACCAGCATCTAACCCCACTGTGCGTCGCGACGTCGAATTAGACGGCGCTCGCCGCCAACTTAATGCTTTTACGTCGGGAAAGGGAGAGAAAGCGCGTCACTTTTAAAAGCGCCTTTTAGTTTCGAAAATAGGACCGTTCGTCGGTTGCACTAATGCAAAGCGTAAGTACTGGGTCTAAGTGTTAAGGCGCGAGACCCCTCGCTAATCTAAAGTTTCTTCCGGATTATTTCGATGGGCTTTCTCGGTTAATTATCCAACTTTAACAATAAAAATAACGTTATATTTTTACGAGGACGCTAATAATCGCGCCTAAAAGTAACATTATGTATAGCTATCGCAAATGTTATGGCTACCACACAAAACAAATCTTAGTAAATAAATCCTAAATATAGGTTAAAGATAAAAACCCTTGCTAGTACGTTTCTGTCTCTCTTAGATATCACACCTATTCACAACTTCGCCTGTTCACAATATACTAAATATACCAATGTTGCAATACTAAAGACCAATTGTTGCTATATAAACATTGAAGCAACGCAATATTACTGTATCACACTGAAGCAACGCAATATTGCCTGTCCGAATGCAAGGTTTGCCTGTTTTATCAAGTCGGTCTTTCTGATATCGTAATTTTCCTTTTCCTTGTCTTAACGTAGTATTTCTTGTTCTTCAGTCTTCTCTCTTCTCATATTCTCCATAAAATCATCTAATAACTTGCTTACTTCCTATTACTCCATTTTCTTCGCTTGTTCTCTAGTCCCAAGCATACAAATTCTCAAATCCGGTCTAAAATCTTCAAAATCT